AGATATATTCACTCTTCGTCGCCTTCTAAAGCTTGAATATTTGGATTAGCTTTCATTTTTAAATTGCATATTCTCTCACACAACTTTGTCTAACTTTATATCACTCCTTTTCTACCCAGCTAATCTTTGGTACCACTGTGAGGTGTGGCAACTTTAGCCCATTCCCTTGTGTGGAAGACTCTAAGTTGATTTTATCTACCTGTTCCTTAGCTAAAATGTAAATAGTGGGTAAAATAAGTTGGATGCGACAGATCTGTTAGGGATCTCGCTGAAGAAACTCTCTGGAACGTCTCTTTTAATTCCTCAGTCTACCTGTCTTCTAAAGCTTCAATATCCGCGTTTGATTATATCGTTGTTGGATCCCCTGGATGTGCATGCGAGGGTTGAATGAATCTTTGAGACACCTCACTGTAGATCAAATGCTCTATGAGTACAACCTACACATGAGCCGCCACAGAAACATTTCGAATTCCACTCATTTTCCCTACAGCCGCTGAAGCGCTCACTTACGACACAACTTCTGGATAGATACGTTATCTTTCATCTCCCTCGATATGCTGGTGTGTCAAGCTAGACCGTTACGCAGAAACTCTAGGTCCCATTTCGGTATTGATCTATCCAAACATACTTCTGTGAACCTCTAAACTTAACATCATTAAAACAAGTTTATTAACACACCCAGGTCAAGAGTAAAACCCGTCACTTACTTGCTATCGAATTCAAGTTTGATTTCATCTTTCACCAATAAACACATAAGTGCACTGCTGAACCGAGCGGTAAACAAACTACCTCTATGTTTTGCAATCTCAAGCTCTAATGAGTATCATGTTAAATCTGAATAAGCTTGATCTGAAGTGATAAAAACATTCAACCTTTTGTAAAAATATGTGAATCAATACGATCAATCACAAGACAGGAAGTGATGTTGTTTTTCAGTCATGGGACTAATTGATCCCATTGAAAATCCTGATCCTTCCATCCATCCAGATCAACCTAGGACCAGGCATTACTGCGTAACGGTCTCAGTTGCCGCACCTCGTATCAGTACATTAAGTAGAAAGGCAGTGAGGCGCAAGATGAAGATAAGAGAATGCAGTCAGAAGAAATATAAAGTACAAAAAGAGAGAAACGAAGAATGAGAAAGTGGTGAGATTTGATATAGTGTCGTTAAGATGAGGACAATGTGTGTATACATTTGCGCCACTGACATCTGTTCTGAGCCATATCACCTAGTCTCTAACCCCTGGTTCCCATTGTCCATGGACCCCAACCACTTAGTCTGCATCACCCCACATGGCTCAAACCAACAGTAAAACACTTCATACATTGGTACCATGTTTTAGTCTGGCCACCTCGGGCCTTTTCCCAGCCTGGACCTACTTCAGCCAACATTGTGTGACGAGGCGATCGGCGACTAGGCATACGTAACACGTGTCACAACCATCTCAGTCGATAAAGGTTCACAACCATGTCAACTGATTTACCTCTTCTCCCTAAAATTCAACCCTGACTTCATCGTTACTCACGTGGTGACACCACGGAATACGGCGGCCTATACCACGAAAGCAACAGTGGTTAAACACCTGAGGCCAGACTTCTCATGTCTTCTACCTTCAATGGCCATGTTTCACAGCCATACAGTAGAGTAGACCGGACTGCTGCGGAGTATACGCGACCCTTAGTAGACAATCAGATATCACGGCAGCCCCATAGCTGGCCTAAGTTGGCAAAAGCCATTCGAGCCTTTTGTATCCGTCCACAGATTTCACCGGCCACTGAGCCATCAGGGTTGATCCTACTTCCCAGGTAAGTGAAGTGGTCAACACACTCAACCAATTCACTCTCTACTGTTAGCCGTGGCACCGTTGGAGACCAATCCTGGAACAGCAATTTGCATTTGGGTGGTGAGAAACGCGTCCCAAGCATTATCAAATTGCCATCCAGTGTTCGGAAGACTGCATCTTGTCAGCGTCTTCACCTAACAGGACTATGTCATCTGCATGTCATAGGTCTACCAAAAATTCTCCTGTGGTTAGATCAACGTCTGTGTAATCACGCGACGAGAGGGAAACCTCCATAAGAATATCTATGATAAATATGAATAACAATGGAGTAGGCACCCTTGACGGACACCACTCGATAAGTGCAGCTCACCTTAGGCTCTAACACGTCCGCAAGTGTTCGACTAGAGAGCCTTCAATAAGGTGATATACTTACTCGGTACGCTTTCAGTGAGAGACATTGTCATAAGACTTCTCGGTCAACGGAGTCAAATGCCGCCTTCAGGTCGAGAAATACAGGCAGTGTCGGTGTTCCAAAACCTGGCGCAGTGTAAATACTTGGTCGATACATTCGCGGCCAGGTCTAAAGCCTGCCTGGTTTTCTCCGGCTTGTTGTACTCGAGCTCCACTCAGACGTCGGAGAATTATAGAACCTAGGATCTTGGACACTATGTTCGCAGGATGACTCTTCTGTGGTTATCACAAGAGGTCTTCTCGCCTTTTTTGAAGACTGGGATAATCAGTGACTTAGACCAGAGAGGATCGTATTTGATTCCCACATACTAGCTAACACTTTCGTTAGCACCTTATCATCATTCTTTTATACCTCAGCAAGTAGTTAGTCTAGTCCTGCCACCCTTCCTCGTTTCAAGTTACCTACTGCTTTCTTAACTTTTCCTAGTGTTGGGAGGCCTATCTCTATGTCCCATTCAGGACTCGACCGGATAGCGGGCAACTCAATGGTGGCTGGAGGCCAGTTAAACTGCTCCTCGAAGTGTTCTTTCCTTCGTTCCAGTCGTCTCACCTGCGAGTGAATCGCAGATCCGTCCTTCTCCGCTATAGCCTCACTAACTGTTGTTGACCTTTTCCCATTCAGTTTCCTTAATACGTCTAAATAACTGTCTACTGTTACCGATCGCCGCCGTCTTTTCCAACTCTTTAGCCTTCGCTGCCCATCACTGTTCGCATTCATTGCGTAGACTTTTTCTCAGTCTACTTTTAAGCTGTGCCCGTTCTTCATTGTACTCGGGACCGGCAGTGATGCGTTCACGTACATCCATTATTTCGGAAGAAGGTGCTGATATCCACTGGCTCTTTTTAGCCACTCTTTCGGAGTCAGCTACGGTCTTCAGCGCTGCTCTTACGGCAGACTGGAGATGGCACCAAGCTTCTTCTGGATGAGTGATAATCTTCGGTTCCATCTTCTCACTGAACACGGCTTTGGTGTTTTCGTTGTCCAGCAGCACTCGTGGTCGTTTTGTTGACAAGTTTTTCTTACGTCCATTGAGACGCAGACATATACGCGCTCGGACCAACGCATGATCGTTGTTCAAACACGTACTCCAGAAGGAGTGGCAGTCTTCTGTCGATTCTCTCCAGCGATGACTAATAGCAATGTGGTCTATCTGTGTCCATCGCTGGGTTGAGCTCAGTAAATGCCACGTCAGACAGTATCTTTCTTTACGTCTGGGATTTGTGCTAGCCAAAAATAAGCGGTTATCTGAGCACAGTTGTAGTAGGTGATCACCGTTATCCGTACATTCAGCCGGGACTCCGAAAGTGCCGCCTAAGTGCCTTTCTCCATCACTCAGTCTACCCACCTGTGCATTGAAATCACCTGCAACAACCACTACGTCCGAAAGTCTAGGTTTCGACGGGAGGCTAGACTGTCTACGGTAGGACTCTTCCTTCACTTCATCCGAACTACAGTCAGGGGGTGTGTAAGTAGGGATTACAAAGAGGCGACGGCGAGTCTCACTATTCCTTTTAGTTCACACTGTGCCGTTCAGCCTCATAGCGCAGAGGCGACTATCAACTGGGATCCAGTCTAGTAGTGAGTTTTCTGCCCTACTGCTTAATACTATCCCTACACCTGCAGGACCACGAGAGCTGGCTATCGGATCTCCAGAAACTCGAAGGGTGAATTTTGCGAATCCACCAGATTGGTCGGTGAATAACCGCACTTGGGTCTTGTATGTGTCTTACAAACACAGCACACATCCATGCCCCGAGTTGCTAGTCTTTGCCAACGAAGCCTGTTGACCAATTTGACGGAGGGTGCGGACATTGAAGACTTCAACATGCAATTTGGAGCGTGGTTTAAGGAGACGAAGGGTGCTATTTTGTTAACTCAGATCGTTGTCAAAGACTGAGGAACTGAAATTAAAGATGTGGTATTGTTAATTGAGAGACGTGAAGGAAGATTAGGAGGTAATGAGGGGGGGAGGTGGATAGCAGTCAGAGGAAACTTGACTGCTGATCGAGTTGTGAGGGCGATTGATACTTCCCAGCTGCCCACACCGTGGAAGGCTATTTCTACTAAAGGTACCTGAAAGAGATGTGACCGCAGAGCCCATCGGACATCTGCTTGAGGCCTGTCACACACAGCCTTCTATGTATGATTATTTTGAACTTTTGTATTTTTGGGGCCGGATGGTCGAAAGGAAACTACAGATGAACAAACACCGTGGGCCATGGTGGAGTGTTATTTTTGGGGCCGACCTTTCCTAACCCCCTTTTCCATTGAGAAGGCAGCATCAGCATGGCACTGCTGGTCATCAAAGGGGAACACCTTACTGAGGTCACACCACATCCAGCTAACAGCAGTACGACTTTAGCCTCGGACCCCCATCATAGTGCAGTAGTTTACACCACAACGGTAACTGCTCTTCGTCTAACCACTATCCAACAAACCTTTCTGGTATGGTAGGACATCGAGAAAACAAGTGTTCCACTAGCATAGCTCGTTGGGTCATTGTGGTATGCAGGCCCGACCACCACGTCAAGGTAGCAGCTATCGGTCGGGAGAAAACCCTGATAACAATTAGAAAAACAATATGTCACATTCGCACGTATATTTGCTTAGCTGAAGCTAATTTGCTTCATAATTATTTTTATCTGAACTAAACATAAATAAATACGACTACAGTCTCATGAGTGCCTTGAGCTGGAGTGGGAACTGTGCAGGTTTCTAAATCCTACATTTAGCTACGAAGAACATCAACTCCAGATGGTACAAGTTAGCAGGGCTTCTAGTAAATAATAACAGGTCTATATATTTCCAACCAAATTAAAAAATGTCATCATGGTCTATTACTGCTAACTCCGGCTTGTCATACCCAAGTTCTTCCAAAGTTGGCAAACCAAGTTCTTTCATAGTCGGCTGGATCTCTTTATGAAGCCACTCCCATGTGCCCTTGCAGGCTTTACATTTAAACTGAAAAATCATAGGAGGAGAAGCAAGAAGCCTACCTTAACAGACTCCATAAAACGGATAGCAAGAGCAATATCATTAAGGCGTCTGCACGCCTTGAGACCACTTATTACGACTTCTGGGGGAGGAACTGCATCTTCAAGATGAAGCCTTTGCATCCATGTTCTGGCCCACCAACCATCAAGTTTCGGATCATTGAATGCATTGACAAAACGCGACTTAAAAACCTCAAATGGTTCCGTTCTGTTTGCATAGTCGGGATTAGTAGAATAGTCAGCGTTATCTTTACCGCACGCAGACGGGAGTAACTTTGAATGAACTTAATCACAGCAGTAATTCTTAAATTAGCCATTACCTTTCCACAGATTGTTTGTAATAAGTGACGTCCGACGAATCATCACTTTAAGAGCAGCCCACAATTCAAAGACGCACCTTCAAAACTTCGTGTTGTCCAATACCCAATGTCTCTTGTAAAGCCAGTGTGAGCCAATTGATTTCTTCTGGGTCCTATGGAACGGTTCCAAGTCTTTGGTGGATTCAGGTGCAATAGGTCTACCTACTCGCCAGCTGTAGATCTGGTTGGCCAGACGGGCGTTTGGGTGTTGATTGAGTATGTAGGGATTGTGTGGTTTTTCGAGGGAGTGTGATGCAGATGGTTTCCTCAAATGTTGTACTACAAGACAGTTGTTTGGAGTGGTTGTAAAAGGAAGGCAGAAAAGATGACCAGAAAAACCAAGGGAGAGGAAGTGTGAAGAGAAATGAAAAACGATAAGTTGGAAGGAAGTGGAATGGAAGGTGAAACCTACGTGGATTCATAGGAGATAAGCACTGGGGAGAGCTTTGATCGGATACTGTGAGAAAATGGAGTCAGAACAAAGAAAATGAACGGGTAAGATTACGCGATCGGTTACGTGAACAGAGATTGTAATACCATTGTCAGGAGTTGGTAACTAGAGGAGAAGTCCACAGGGAAGTATGAAGTTGAGTCACATTCGAGGCGATGGTGACGTTACAAAACATTAGGTAATGAGTTGGCAGTGCCTTAATGTGCGGAGTCAGTAGGCTGTATCAGCCGAGTCCGTATCCCATGTGAATGAGCTCAAACCATTCGTCACCGCGTAACTGTCTAACCTCTTTCTGGAGCTGTCAACCGACGTAGCAATAGCCATCTCCATAGGCGATGCGTTCCAGTAGCCGCCAGCTAGCAGAGAGAGAAAGTGTGAACTCACATGGGCTTTTTCCTTTCGGTGGGCGATTCATTTTGGTTTACCACTAGGATAGCCACGGTGGTCATTTTGTAGGATTCCACTATTCGGATGACTTGGATTACTTAGTATTTTACAAGCCATTATCAGGTCACCACGTAATCTACGGTGGCTAAGAGTGAAGATCCTTGGGTCTTTCAGCCTATCCCCATAGTGTTTTTGCCTCATTCTCACGACACCCTTAGTTGGTACTACCTTCAAAAATGACAGTGGGGTTCGACAAATTTTGATTAGTTTGTTATATTTACTGTGTTGAGGTTCAGAACTCTTTGAACAAACATTTTTCTACCCTTTGTTCATTCCACTGACAGTTTCTAAGAATGTCTGCAGGATTTGTCGCAGAAATGTCAGCTTCGCAGCTAAGGCAATGGGTTTTGAGCTTTGCACTTAATGGACTCACTTCTCCTGTGATTCCAGCCAGCCAACTGGTTATCATCATGTATTGCTCAATAGCCCTCTTGATGGAGATTGGTATTTCTGTCCATGTTGTACATCCAAAAGGAAGTACCAAATAGGCCGAGAGCTAGTGAGACAGAACTCCGACCATCTTATAGTTGAGATCTATACACAAACCAGCCTCAATCTAAGGAAGTCTCATGGCCATAAATAGATCCTCCAAGTGGGCAGTAAGCGAAGTAGCCATTTCATCACTTTCACGGACTACCTCCCCGTTAGCATACTTGGGAGCAGATCCCCTCAGTGGTGAACCTGAATCTCACACCCGATAAGCGCCGAAAGAAATATCTGGAGAAATGTAAGCGGATCAGATCAGTTAAAAATGGAACATTAGGTAACGATTAGTAAGACTGACAAAGTAACGACTACTCAGCCTAATGGAAGGCCGGACCGTAAGTTGATCATTGCCCAGCCTGCTTAGGTGGAAAACATTTCGAAAAGAGCAGATCCTGGTCCCACCACCCGTAGCCCACGGCGGAAGCCACCCGCATTTCACCACCGGCCTCGTCTAATCATCAAGATAACTCCCACGGCCGGCGGCTCAGGCCTTCCGTGTCACTCGCAAAAAGGCAACCCAGAAGTCTCAGTCCGTATTTACAGGGAGGAATAAGCCCGAAACGACAGACCATAACCTTAATCTTAGTTTGCTCATACTCTTCAACGTACAGGAAAGTCGGCCCTCCCTATTAAATGATCGTGAAGAACATGATTTTGGCCAATGGAAAAGTGGTTGCAAACTCCTAGGAACCTTTCTCTGCAGTCCATCTCTTCAACGCCTAGCGTGCAGTAAGTTCTCCCCCAAAGGCTCTTCTAGACCTTTAAGGGGAACTTTAGGGTGTCCAACTCCTCTTTTCACCATAGTGTATGCTCTGTACATTCGCTCTCATCTAGAAAAAAATTCGCTCGTGATGTCCCCATACTTGAAAAAGGACATAGCCATCCTTGAACGGGTACGGAGAAGAGCTGCGAAGAAAGTAATCGGGATACGGCGCAAACTGTACGCAGACCGCTTAGTTTCTCTTCAGCTGCACCCAGTACAATACCGGAGGATCAGAGGGGATATGATCATGATGTACCACGTCGCCCATAATCCCCTCCATCCTAACAGATCCCTTCTAAGCTCTAGTCGGAAACGGGACCTGAGGGGTCACCCGTTAGGAATAGAGCGCGAGAGAGCACGCACAAAGATCCGTGCTACGTCATTTGTAATTACAGCCTGTAAGCTATGGAACTCCCTCACTTCAGAGATGTTACAGCCCCATTCCCTGATACTTTTAAGAGGAGGTTAGACGCACACCTCGAGCTCTACGGTACGGATGGGCAGTACTCGAGTAGCCTTCCCCAAGTCAGATGCAGTAATAATACCATAAGACCAGATTAAATAATAGTCGTATCTCTATCCTTCCAGGTTTTTTATAACAGGAAGGTAATTGTGACCATTCCAAACCCAAAACGTATTCCAAAAGGGTAGACGTAGAACCCAAGGAACTGCTGCTCACTAATCCTTCAACACGAAGTTTGAAGATTAAAGCTTGCTCACATCTGGACTTTCTGCAGCAGGTTCAAACCTCTTCTCGAATATGGCGGTGGACCTCCGGGTGAGGTCGTTTGTCGGTCTTGCACAGCTTCAGGAAGCACTCTGGAGTGAGTGCACCTGGTTGTCACTGCAGTACTGCGTAGCCTCTGGAGGCATCTCCTGGATTGATACGGCTAGCATCCGGCTTGTGAGCCAGTATTAGTGCCAGGTCTTTCTCCATGGTGGTGTGAGAATGTTGTGTTCCACAGAGAGATTAGGGTACTTCCTGACGGCCAGTGGTGTAGACAAACACGGTTCAGTACTTATCCAGACTAGATTATTGTTATTATTATTAGTCCCTTGAGTTCTTAGTGGAACATAGGGCTTCAGTAGCACGTCTCCACTGACCTCTGTTCTCTGAGATCTTTGAACCTGGTTCCACGACAGCCCACAACCTCTCATTTCCTCCTCGCACGACCTCCTCCATGTCACCCCCGCCTCGGACGTCCAACTCGTCGCTTCCCATCTGGATTCCACTCGAGGGGCTGACGCTCGCCTGGTTAACTAGTTCACTAGTTACTAGCTGGTCCTGAGCCCGGGTAAAGAGGGAAGGTTGGGCATAGGGCTAGCAACCCTACCCTGCAAAACAAATCTAACCGCTAAACAAACTTCGAAACACAAACAAAATATAAAAAATAAAAACAAAATTACTCCTCGCTGGAATCGGAGAGGCGAAATGACGCCAGTTGGTGAAAGCCTTCGAAAAGCCAGTTGGCTGATGTGTCTTCTCTCTATGAAAGCGAGAGTAAACGTGGGGACATGGAATGTCCGTACGATGTTTGAACCTAGCAAGGCAGCCCAGATTGCAAAAGAGATGAGAAGGTATCCAGATTACATACTAGTCCGTTTTTATCCACCCACTCTAAAGTTAGCCTGAAACCAGTTTGCAGTGCACTTGATTCTGCTTCGGATGCTGCAGCTTCCCGTGGCTCAACATCGCCGGAGTGAAGTCGAATCAGGACTGGTATGCAATTATTCCCAGTTTAAGCCTAGGAGAGTTGAAATTGGACAGCTTGAAATGGGGTGATCGCTGACAAAATCTCATTTCGGATAAAGAAAGCCCGTTCGCCATTTTCCAACCTGCGTCATCTGTGGCGCCGACTAGAAAGATATCTGACTATTTATCCAAGGACGAGCACACTGCGCTGCAGTCCGTTCCACCTTGTTGTACGGCTGAGACATGACCGTCGGTAATAGAACACACAAAGAGACTGACAGGTTGGGGTCCCTGAGTTGAAAGGAATCAGTGGTCGAGAACCCCAAATGACGTGGCTGAAAATGGGTCACAGTGGCGAAGATATATTCACTCTTCGTCGCCTTCTAAAGCTTGAATATTTGGATTAGCTTTCATTTTTAAATTGCATATTCTCTCACACAACTTTGTCTAACTTTATATCACTCCTTTTCTACCCAGTTAATCTTTGGTACCACTGTGAGGTGTGGCAACTTTAGCCCATTCCCTTGTGTGGAAGACTCTAAGTTGATTTTATCTACCTGTTCCTTAGCTAAAATGTAAATAGTGGGTAAAATAAGTTGGATGCGACAGATCTGTTAGGGATCTCGCTGAAGAAACTCTCTGGAACGTCTCTTTTAATTCCTCAGTCTACCTGTCTTCTAAAGCTTCAATATCCGCGTTTGATTATATCGTTGTTGGATCCCCTGGATGTGCATGCGAGGGTTGAATGAATCTTTGAGACACCTCACTGTAGATCAAATGCTCTATGAGTACAACCTACACATGAGCCGCCACAGAAACATTTCGAATTCCACTCATTTTCCCTACAGCCGCTGAAGCGCTCACTTACGACACAACTTCTGGATAGATACGTTATCTTTCATCTCCCTCGATATGCTGGTGTGTCAAGCTAGACCGTTACGCAGAAACTCTAGGTCCCATTTCGGTATTGATCTATCCAAACATACTTCTGTGAACCTCTAAACTTAACATCATTAAAACAAGTTTATTAACACACCCAGGTCAAGAGTAAAACCCGTCACTTACTTGCTATCGAATTCAAGTTTGATTTCATCTTTCACCAATAAACACATAAGTGCACTGCTGAACCGAGCGGTAAACAAACTACCTCTATGTTTTGCAATC